AATGGGATCAAGAATTTTCTACCACCGAGAAAAAGAAATTAACAGCTAATTTATTTGACTGACATTGTGCTTTAGACTTTTCCTCGCCCGTTTAATTTTCTTGGAAATTAGTAGTTACACGAGGTAATAGGAAAAATGTGCCTCCCTCCTCTCTCTTCTCCCTCCTCTCCCCTCTCCCTCACACCTCCCTCTCTCCTCACACTTCCAACCCCCGTCTGAGAGTAACTAGGTTGATGTTTCTAGATAACGTATTATATATTCATGAAAAACCATTGGCAAATATATGAAGCAAGGTTTATATTATAATTATTTTTATTATTATTATTACTATTATTATTATTATTATTAATTATTAGGAGCAGCAGTAGTAGTAGTAGCTGTTGTTATTAGGTATTTAAACGTTCATATTTATACTTGCATTACCTTGCCATGTCTGATGGTTTAAGATGTCAAGATCACTGGTTAACTGAACGAAAAGATCGAAAGCTCAGGTCAGATCAGGTCAACTAAAACAAAAAAAAATAAAAATAAACAAGTCACACAGTCCAGCAGTGGACAGACAGGCCAAAACACTATATCAGTGCACTTTTTCCGACCGATATGTTCCATTTTCAATTCAAATTCAATTTCGGAAATAATATATCATTCCGTTCCAGTTCATGGTATAATGAGGACCTCCCCGCTGACCCAATCATCTGATAATCCAGACTCGGTTTGACCCGCATCCTAAAATTATCTGTTTGGGGGATTTTTTTCTGAACGCTCCACATTTTTTACCAGAGTTGTGGGTTAATGCGTTGTCCTTACATGTATTATTATGTGTTGAATAGTTACATAGGAATTCTTTTGAAAGTGAGAAAATGAACGTACCCAAAATATACTAGCATAGATACATAGATTATAACTACACACACAGACACTACCCCATGTACCACCCATCACCCCACACCCATCCCCACACACCTACCTTAACTCAACACCCCCCCCCTTCACACAAACACCAATCACCACCAACGTAACCATCAAGGTATAAAAGCATAATTACAAGAAGTGACATAATATCACCTTTGGGTACACCATTAAGAAAATACCAAGGAAGAAAACACGAGGTCAAGAGGCCAGTTATCTCAAGACGACGTTCGCTCCTCTTGTCTCGATCTCCCTTAATAATTAGGCGTCCCGGGCACTAATTACTGAAGATAGTCCGGGTGAGAGTGGGCGGTGTCCTGGCAGAGGGTAGGTGGGTGAGGGATGACGGATGATACCTGGGGGCTTAGAGGTGGGGGTGAGGGTGGGGGCTAACGGGTGGGGGGTTATTGAGGGCGGTGTGATGTGATGGGTTTGATGTATGTGTGTACGTGGATGAGGGGTGGTGATGGCGTGTGTGTGTGTGGATGGTGAGGATATTATTGAGAGACGGGTTTGTGTGTAGATGTTTTGTGGTAGATTTGGTGTGGATATAGAGAAAATAATTGACGGAAGGAAGGAAGGAAGGAAGGAAGGAAGAATAAATCGGAAGAATAAAGGAAGGGGAAAAGGAGGGATGTAGAGAAGGAAGAGGATAGTTAACAATGGAAAGGGGAGACAGGGGGAAATTAGGAGGAGGAAACAATGAAGGAAGGAAGGATTAATCGAACGAATAAAGGAAGGGGAAAATGAAGGAAGAGAGTAATTAACAAAGAAAAGGGGAGAGAGGGAAGGGGGGCAGGAGACGAGCGGAAAGAGGATGAAGGCCACTGTTGCCATTAACTGTTTTCGTTATACTGCTGCTGAAATTAGGAAGTAGGAAGGGTATGAGAGGAGCAGAAAATGGGAGAGAGAGAGAGAGAGAGAGAGAGAGGGAAGGAGGGCGAGGATGGGAGGAAGTGTATAGGTAGGAGGTAAAGAGGGAAGCAGTTGTAGGTAGGAGGGAGGGAGGTGCTGTGGTAAGGGAGGGGAGGTGGTGAAGGTAGGAGGGAGAAAGGGGAGGTAGTGGAGGGAGAGGGGAGGTAGTGAAGAGACAGGGGAGGTAGTGGAGGGAGGAGGGAGGGCAAGGGATGGAGGGAGGGATGGAGGGAGAAGAGTCACCAGGGAGCTTATTAGACAAGTGCGTCACCCAACAATGCGGGGAAAACTTAACAACTGAACAAGGCAACGAAGTTTTTAATTTACTCTCTCTCCCTCTTGCTCACTTTCACACACACTCTCTCAGTCTCACATTTATCCAGAAACTCATTCGCTCACTCGTTCATTAACTCACACTCTTTTAGATCCCCCCCACACACACACATTTAAATAATAATAAAATACTAATTACAATAAGAAAAAATATTCATACATACGTTAAGAAAATGCCTAAATCAATTAAGAAACATCAAGAAAATTAAAACAAACTAAACACATTAAAATATCGTACTAGAAATAACTAAAAGACGGCAAGAAAATTATGACTGGAAACCCCATTAGAAAAATATAACTAAAAATGGTTATTGTTAGTCAAATTACTTACGTTTATTAGTATTAATAGTATATTTTAAAGGGTAAAAACTATTGTACATGTCTTAGTATTGTACATTTTCGGGTAATAATTATCGTAAATTTTTCACTGTCATAACTATTGTCCACTCTTGAGGATGACGACTATTGTACATTTCTCGCTATCTTAACTATTGTACATTGTTCAGTCATAACTATTGTACATTACTCTCTTACATTCCCCACCAGCACAAGATACAATAACACATTCTGCTACGTCAATATCATATTCTTGGTCAGATTACAACTGGTGATTTTGGCGAACCATTCTCCTTTCACCTAATACCCACAAACACTTTAATTAAGGGTACGGAATTCATCTCTGTTCGGACCCAATCATTTTTTTTAATCAGGGGCCGTTCGTGGATTACAACGGATACATGCATGAAACATCGGATACATATATTAATCATTGGATACATGTATGACTTCAGGTAAATGTATACACGCATATATACATACATATAAACATACATACAGTCTAGACTCTAGATAATCAAAATACAGCGGAAGTTTGCAAAGTCGTATCACAAAAAAATCAAATAAAAAATACAAGAACGCGAAAATATCCCGTATTAATGATTGTCTGATTGGCCTGGAGGGAGAATTAGGACTCTTGATTTGAACAGGTAAATTCTGGAATTAGTCTGATTGGTCAGGTAAAACACTCATCAGGATATTGTAGGTAATCATCAACAGACCGTCGAACTAATATCAGCAAATTATTTTGTTCTTAAAATCACTTATCCAAACAAGTTTTATCTAAGGAAGAAAGGATAAATGATAAAAAAATCCCTTAATAAAATCAGTAAAAACAAAAAAAATATATAGAGTCCACAAACACGTACATATTTCTCATTAAACTTTCTTTCATAAAACAAAAATCTGAGAGAATAATTTTAAACCCATATAGCATTTAGTGAATGAGCTGTGCCGCCCCCCTCTCCATGATATTTTGGAAACACGTTAAGTGACTCGAGACACGGTGATAATACCCGAGTAACAAAAATACTACATAATGAAAATTACTCTACAGTATTTCCACGCTAACCTGGCCCGTAAGCCACGTCCCTTGTCTATACTTACAAATAGCTGATTGGTTATATGGCAGGTGTCGCCCCCCAAACACCTACAACAATACCCAATTAACAATAAAAATTGGTCCTGTCTCCCCAATTTCCACGACAATCACAGGTGCCAAGAACCAGGTACGAGGCTCAGAACCAGCCATTACCACAACAAAACCCCGCCAATTAGCAACCCCAGACAGCATTACACTCATTATCCACGCCCGACACTCCAATTTGGGAAAGTTCTTGATCATCCTCCATTAGCCATTAGCCACAAAGACCCATTAGAGTCGAGGGTAAAATGCATCCATGCCAAAAAAAAAAGAAAAAAAAACTAAAAATACTCTGGGATTAAACAACGCCCCTTGAGAAATTACATTGGGCAAAACATTCCCCCAGCGTGAGAAATTTGCACAGCGACAATATTAAGGACCTGTGAAAGAAGAAAGAAAAACACCTTGGAAATGTTCACTTACTTCTTCTCACATTCCCTCGCCCTGCTTTCTCCCCAGAGATCTGAATTACCGACGGCAAAATCATATGTTTCTCATGTGTGCGTGCGCGTGTCTGAGTAAAGACCACTACAACCTAGCTTGAGAGAGAGAGAGAGAGAGAGAGAGAGAGAGAGAGAGAGAGAGAGAGAGATGTAACTGTGATTTTTGGTGGGGTTGGCATAACACAATTATAACCTTGAGGAGACGGAAGGGAATGTCTCTCTGGATGAAGGAAAACAATCTTTTGGGCACTAGTGATTATAACACCAAATGCCCTCCACCCTTGTTGGCGTGCATCACCACTGCACACGACAACACGCAGCAGCACGCAACAGCTAATGCAATCTGTATCATCACTTTACCTAAGCTAACAGCCATCACTCACTCAGCAGCTGAAACAGGAGCGGCCTTTAGAGGGAGAACCCGTCATTCTTATGGCTTCTACGCTCAACACATTGCTAACATCACCAGCACCAGACCGCAGCAAACAGAGACAAAGGCGGACCATAGCAGTGACAACAGAAGAACACAGCAAAGAACAATAACAGCAGCAAAGCACAGCAACAGCAGCAACAGTATTAAAGATACCTACCAAAAGAAACAGCAGCATGCTTCAACAACAACAACAAAACAGTTTCTTACCAACAGAAGTACCAGGAATAACACCCCGCCACCCCCCACAACAGAAGTGACTATCCCCTTGTCAAACACTCGAGCTGAACGCATAATAAAGTAACCCCAATCACACAGACAGAGCCAACGTCATACCACCCTGTATTGTGCAAGCGTAAACAAAACATTAAGGATTGGATTGTTGTGGTCTGTTACATAAATGAACGATGCTCTACTTTAATGGTGCTTTCATTTTTTTTACGTAAACGAAAAAGATTAAGATGCGAATGTCATCGGAAGATTTGAACTCATGTCTCTTGCGCTGGTGTCTTTGAGCGATGCAAATTCAGCTATCGGTAACCTAAGGAAACATGTGATAAAATATGTCTCTGTAGGGTCACATTCTCTTAGATAAATAAACTAGACACATATACATGATTTACACATAGGAACACCAAGTATCTACACATATATTCAGTCGTTATGTTAATTTTAACCCATGAAATATATGTATATATATATATATATATATATATATATATATATATATATATATATATATATATATATATATATATATATATATATATATATATATATATATATTTTTTTTTGCAATGGCAGATCTTGACCATCTTTCCGACGTATATGGGAAAGAAATTAGTCCTTATTTCAGAACCAGGAACCAGATTCACAGTGATTCAATATATTTATCCAATTCCCTATATAGTTTTAAATGAATATAATCCAACGGGAGACTTGGTGAAAATTTAATGTTAGGTATAGAAGCGATCATAAACACCAAGGGAAAAATTAACTTAGTACGAATCTTTAAGAATCCGTTCCCAGATATTGAGAATCCTTGCCCTGATCTCATGATATCGATGATGTGTCAGGTGGGACCAAGAAAACAAAACACTGAAACCGAAGACGCTACTAAGACGCTATTTAATGATCACCAGAAACCGGATCATCGAGTAATGGGAAAAAGAAAAAATTTAACCACAAGACCTGAATTATTGAACAAAACTTAAATTATGGGATTAACGTGAATTATTGAGTAAAGTAAGAATAGATTATCAAACAAGCTAAGATTAACACACGCACAAATATACCCGTACAAATAAGAATTATTTTTAAACAATATCCGTGAACAAATGCGACTTATCAAACACACACGAGACTAATATCGACCAAACACGTATTTTAATTATACTTAATACCTGTAAGTCAACGAACCAATACGCGAAGCCTCAACGAAACACGAATCGCCAACCAAACGCGAAATAACACACACACACACGACGAGGTAGGTATTAATACACAAACACGAATTATGCAACATACACGCTTGTCATTGACTAAACACGCAGCTCTATAGACGACCAACTCTAGGTTCGGTTACTCACCAAGCCAGCAAACTGTGTCGTGGGCACGGGGGTGGTAGGGAGTCCAGCCTCTGACATACCTGCAAAATAAGATAACATTAAAATGATAACAAATCTAAGAAAACACGTAGTTAACAGTACAAATGATCGAGTAAAAATTTATATTCAGGATTTACAAATGAATTAAATATATAAAAAGGAAATTATTTTGTACGAATTATCAAAAGCAATTATTTAACTTGATTATTTATTAACCAAAATTAAGACAAAATAAAAATAAATAAACTGTATGAATTAAGTATGGAATATCTTTAACTTAAAAATAAATTAAAAATTAATAGCAATCTTGAAATTATAAAACAAACCGTGACTCTTCGGCTGCATAAACCACAAAATAGAAAGATATAGAAATAAAGAGAGATATTAACTGCTTAAATTTCAACACGAAACTAGTGACACCGAGAGACAGCACCTATTTAGTGGAGATAGTCGACTAAATCACCAAATAGAGAGATAAATAGAGATATTAACAGTTTAACCCTTTCACCGCATTTCACGCACTCGACATTTTATTCTGGCTCCAGCTAGACGATTTTATTCAGCTTAGGGTAACCTCCCGATGTGATAGGGTTAAACTACAACACAACACAAGTGAGACCAAAATATCCGGACAAGGCAGGACAACACACACACTCCACTGGGATCCAAGACCAAACTGGTTCCTCACCCAGTTAGAGTCGCTGTGATAAAAGAATTTGAGGTCAGGTCATGTTAGTTCATGTCTGTTGTTTCCTCGTGTGAAGCAACAATAAAAAAAATCCGAAAATGACAAACAGCAATAGCGAAATTCTAATCTCTTAATAGACCTAAACTTTTAATTGATGAGCACGTTCCATTACAATCATGGTTCCATTAATATTCATCTCCAACTTCAACATATAGGCCTACATGGAAATATTAATATATATATATATATATATATATATATATATATATATATATATATATATATATATATATATATATATATATAAAATACTAATTCAAATAAGCCTATAAAATGCATTAAAAGACTAATTTTCAATCAGAATCTTCCAAAACAAAGTTTTCAAAAATCCATCCCCCAACACCAACATATAGGCCTACTTTTAAAAATGAATAAATAAAACACTCAAATATTCATAGGCCTACGTATGGAGGTTACTACTAAGTTTCTATCACAATCTTCTAATATAATTAAGGTCTCATCAAGATTCATCCTTAATTGAAAAAGTTTTATCTGGGATCCTCAAAAAAAAAAAATCTAATTATTCAGTCCTTTTTCAGCTCTTAAAAACTCATTAACACTTGTACATAATTTCCATTTTAACCCAAGACTCGTTTAACAGCTTAAGAGGTTTATCTAGGACTCATTTACCAGCTTAGGGGGTTCATTTAAGACTCGTTTACCAGCTTAATGGGGTTATTTAGGACTCGTTTACCAGCTTAAGGGGTTTATTTAGGACTCGTTTACCAGCTTGCGGGGTTCATTTCGGACTCGTTTAACAGCTTAAGGTGTTATACGAATCTTACCTTAGATGAACATCATAAACGAGTTTTATATGAAACCTTAAAGTTCTTAAAAATGTTGTTAAACGAGTCAAAAGTGAACCCCCCTAAGGGATTAATTTCAGACTCGTTTAACAGTTAAGAGGTTTATTTCGTTTAACAGCTTAAGGGGTTCATTTAAGACTCGTTTAACATTTACAGGGTTCATTTATGATTCGTTTAACAGCTTAAGGGTTCACTTAAAAACAGTCGTTGTATATAATGAACCTGAATGCATAGTAATAACGTTTTAATAACAATACCAATCTCTCTCTCTCTCTCTCTCTCTCTCTCTCTCTCTCTCTCGTAATACACACTTAACAACCCTCAGTATGATACATTTTCAGTTTCTAAGGTTCACCTGAGCGACCTGAAGTTGATTAATGGAATGGCCAGACTTTTTTTGTGTGTGTGTGTGTGTTTCATCTTTCTTCCTCAGATGATCTATGGTTTAAACTCAACAAAGACAAATAGGATTCTTACCACACTGTGAAATGGTGGAAGACGAAGAAAGCGATAAAGTGAGAAATGGAGAAAGAGATGAAACCAAGTGAGGCGAATGAAGATAAATGTGACTTTTATAATATATTAAATTGGAAGAAGAAAGAAAGAAAGAAAGAAAAAGAGGAAGAAGGAGAAGGAGAAGGTTAACAGACCATAATTAAATACAACAGGGGGTTAAGACAGGGGAGATAAGACTGAATGATAAGAAAGATTAGGCATACAAGAGATGATAAATAGAAGGGAAATGATAAATAAACCAAGACTATTATAACTGACAGTCTCTCTCTCTCTCTCTCTCTCTCTCTCTCTCTCTCTCTCTCTCTCTCTCTCTCTCCAAAACGAAAACAATCAAATTAACAAAAACGAAATGAACAACAAAAAACTAAATAAATAAAAATAACAAAATAAAAAAAGATTACAAAAGCAGACAATAACACTAAAGTAATTACGTCTTAGGCTAGCGTGACTGGCCCTCGTTATCACCACACTGAATATCGTAATTAACTAGTTATGACGTATCTCGGATCGTTTAAGATGGCGTTTGTTATTTAAGGTGGGCCGATATACGTCTCAGTGCGGCGATAAACCAGATTTAATGCTCGATGACTTTATGTATTACTATTACCATACGGAGGTTCATTGGCCCATTACACATAGGGGGTTTTAAGGGGGGAGGGAGGGGGTGATTGGGAGGGGGGTGATTGGGAGGGGGGATTGGGAGGGGGTGATTGGGAGAGGCTGATTGGGAGAGGCTGATTGGGTGGTGATTGGGAGGGTGATTGAGTTGGAGGTGATTGAGTTGGGGTGTGATTGGGTTAGGGTGATTAAGTTGGGGAGAGATTAAGTTGAGGTGAGTATGGGGTATTATGGGTGATTGGGGTGATTTGATTGGCTTAGGGGTGATTGGGGTGATTAGGTTGGGGGTGATTAGGGGTGAGGGTGATTAGGGTGAGGAGATTGGGGTGATTAGGTTAGGGGTGATTGGGGTGATTAGGTTAGGGGGTGATTGGGGTGATTAAGTTAGGGGGTGATTGGGGTGATTAGGTTAGGGGGTGATTGGGGTGATTAGGTTAGGGGGTGATTGGGGTGATTAAGCTAGGGGGTGATTAGGTTAGGGGTGATTAGGTTTGGGGGTGGTGATTGAGTTACTGGCGTATCGGATTGTTTAAGGGATTATTTTATCGAGGTGTACTTACTGTCTATACACGAATCCTTTTATCCAATCCTATAGGTTCCTAAATCTAATAACTACTAATTCTTTGACCTCACTTAACGTAAATACGAGTCCTTTTGCATAACTTTAAACTCCCTTAGTGTAAACTCGAATCCTTTCATCCTTGCCCTTTATCCTACCTTAAAACACCCTTAACGTAACCTAAAACTCCCTAAACATAGCCTAAAACTCCCTTACCCTAACCTAAAACTCCCTTAACGTAACCTAAATCCCCCTTTATATAAGACGACATCCGCTTACTCATTTTCATTAACTAACCACAAACCTCTCACCCACCACCACCGACCAATCACAAACCACCTACCCATTCCCATCAACCAATCACATACATCTTACCCACCATCATCACCCACCAATCACCAACTCGCAATAGACACCCACAAGACCCCCACAACATAAACGACCGTACCATCGTGAGCAACTTAAAAAGCGTGCCATAGGTGTCTATCCCGCCACCCAGGAGATGCCCAGGTAAGAGTAGGTTACCTGGCCGCTAATTGGTTGGCTTTTACCTCCCCCCCCCCCCTCCCCCCAATATCCTGGACCAGGTGGGGCTCGGGACTAGAATTACGGGGGAATAACCGTGAGATGTTGAGAAGAGAGACAGACTGACAGAGATTACGGCCCTTGTCGCAGTTTTCAG